TAGAGACGGGGTTTCACCATTTTGACCAGGATGGTCTCGATCTCTTGACCTTGTGATCCACCCGCCTCGGCCTCCCAAAGTGCTGGGATTACAGGCTTGAGCCACCGCGCCCGGCCAACTTTTTTTTTTTTTTAACAGGCACCGCTCCCGGGCTGGCCAGTGAGGCGGCGCCTCAAGATCAACTTTTTTAGCTCTCACATATGTGTGACAACATGCAAGATTTGTCTTTCTGTGCCTGGTTTACTTAACATAATGACCTCCAGTTTCATCCATGTTGCTGCATATGACAGGATTTCATTCTTTTTATGGCTGGATAATATCTCACTGTGTATATATGGCACAATTTTGTGTGTGTGTATGAGACAAGGTCTCACTCTGTCATATAGTGGTGCAATCTCCACTCATTGCAACCTCCACGTCCTGGGATCAAGCGATCCTCCCACCTCAGCCTCCCAAGTAGCTAAGACTACAGGCACATGCCACCACACTCAGCTAATTTTTAATTTTTTGTAGAGTTGGGGTTTCACCATGTTTCCCAGACTGATCTCAAACTCCTGGTGTCAAACAGTCTGCCTGTGTTGGCCTCCCAAAGTGCTGGGATTGCAGGAATGAGTCAGTGCCCCCAACCAACCACATTTTCTTCATCCATTCATTCATTCATGAACACTTAGGTTGATTTCCTACCTTGACTACTGTAAACAGTGCTGCAATAAGCATGGTGTGCAGGTATCCCTTTGGTATATTGATTTCCTTTCCTTTGGATAAATCCCAGTAGTGGGATTGCTGAATCCTATGATACACCAGAAATGCAAAGATATGCAAATCAATAAATGTGATGCATCCTATCAACACAAAGAATGACAAAAACCCCATGACCATCTGAATAAATGCAGAAAAAGCATTTGATAAAGTTGAACATCCCTTCATAATAACTTTAAACAAAATAGGCATAAAAAGGGTATACGTCAACTCAATAAAGGCTACATATGCCAAACCCACAGCTAACATACTGAATGGGGAAAAGCTGAAAGCCTTTCCTGTAAGGACTGGAACAAGACAAGGATGCCCATTCTCACCACCCTTCTTCAACATAGTACTAGAAGTCCTAGCCAGAGCAATCAGGGAAGAAAAAAAAATAAAAGGCAAGTCAACTGGAAAAGGTAAAGTCAACTTGTGCCTCTTTGCAGAGGATATGATCATTTGGAAAAATAGAAAAACCTAAAAACTCCACCTAAGGGCCAGGTATAGTGGCTCACACTTGTAATCCCGGCACTTTGGGAGGCGGAGGCAGGAGGATCATGAGGTCAGGAGTTCGAGACAAGCCTGGCCAATATCGTGAAACCCTGTCTTTACTAAAAATATAAAAAATTAGCCAGATGAGGTGGCAAATGCCTGTAGTCCCAGTTACTTGGGAGGCTGGGGCAGGAGAATCACTTGAACCCAGGAGGTGGAGGTTGCAGTGAACACTGCAGCCTGGGTGACAGCTTGAGACTCTGTCTCAAAAAAAAAAAAAAAAAACTTCACCCAAAAACTCTTGGAATTGATAAATGGTAAAGTTGCAGGCTATAATATCAGCATACAAAAATCAATGGTGTTTCTATACACTAATAACAAACTAGCTGAAAAATAAACCAAGAAAGCAATCCCCTTCATAATAGCTATAATAAAGAAATAAATAAAATACCTAGGAATCAATTCAACAAAGGAGGTGAAAAACCTCTACAACAAACTGCAAAACACTGATGAACAAAACTGAAGAGGACACAAATGAATGAACATCCCATGCTCATGGATTGGAAGAAGTAATATAGTTAAAATGAGTCGGGCACTGTGGCTCATGCCTATAATCCCAGTACTTCGGGAAGCCAAGGCAGGTGGATCCCTTGAGCCTAGGAGTTGGCGACCAGCCTGGGCAACATGGAGAAACCCCATCTCTACAAAAAATACAAAACTTAGCCCAGCATGGTGGCATGCACCTGTAGTTACACATACTAGGGAAGCTGAGGTGGAAGGATCACTTGCGCTTGGGAGGTAGAGGTTGCAGTGAGCCAAGATCGTGCCAGTCTGGGTTACAGAGTGAGACTCTGTCTCAAAAAAATAAATAAATAAAAATTGTCAAAATGACCATACTTCCTAAAGTAATTTACAGATTCAATGTAAACCCTATCAAAATGCCAATGACATTATTCCCAAAAATAGAAAAAAAATTATCATATGAAACCACAAAAAACACTAAATTGCCAAAGCACTGAGCAAAAAAAAAAACAAGCTGGAAAAATCACGATATTTACTTCAAAATATATTACAAAGCTTTAGTAACCACAACAGCATGGTATTGGTATAAAAACAGACATATAGACCAATGGAACAGAATGGAAAGCCCAGAAATAAATCCACATATTTATAGCCAACTGATTTTTTGACAGAGGCACCAAGAACATACATTGGGGAGCCCGGGGGTGGTGGTTCATGCCTCTAATCCCATCACTTTGGGAGGCCAAGGCGGGCAGATCATGAGGTCAAGAGATCAAGACCATCTTGGCCAACATGGTGAAACCCCGTCTCTAATTAAAAAAAAAAAAAAATGAGCTGGGTGTGGTGGCGTGCACCTGCAGTCCCAGCTACTCAGGAGGCTGAGGCAGGAGAATCGCTTAAACCTGGGAGTCAGAGGTTGCAGGGAGCCAAGATTGGGTCATTGCACTCCAACCTGGGCAATAAGAGTGAAACTCTGTCTCAAAAAAAAAAAAAAAAAAAAAATTAATTGAGAGTGGTGACACATGCCTGTAATCCCAGCTATTCTGGAGGCTGAGGCAGGAGAATCACTTGAACCTGGAAGGCCGAGGTTGTAGTGAGCTGAGATCACGCTACTGCACTCCAGCCTGGATGACAGAGTGAGACTCTGTCTCAAAAAAAACCAAAAACAGTTAATATGCATTGGGGAAAGGACATCCCCTTCAATAAATGATGCTGGGAAAACTGGATATCCATATGCAGAAGAATGAAACTAGAACCATATACAAAAATGAAATGTGGGGAAATGGTTCAGGACATTGGTCTAGGTAAGGATTTCTTTTTTTTTTTTTTCCCATTTATTTATTTTATTGCATTTTAGGTTTTGGGGTAAGGATTTCATGGCTAAGACCCGAGAAGCATAGGCAGCAAAAACAAACATAGACAAATGAGACAATATTAAACTAAAAAGCTTCTGCACAGCAAAGGAATCAATCAACGGAGTGGAGACAACCGGTACAATGGGAGGAGGTATTTGCAAACTGTTCATCTAAGAGGGACTGATATCCAAGAATATACAAGGAACTCAAACAATTCAACAGCAAAAATGATCATAATTCTATTAAAAAGTGGTCAAATGACTTGAATAAACACTTCTCAAAAGAGCACCTACAAATGGCCAATGGGTATATGAAAAAATGCTCAATGTCACTAAATATCAGGGAAATGCAAATCAAAACCACAATGAGACATAGTATTACCCCAGTCAGCATGTCTATTAACAAAAAGACAAAAAAAAAAAATGTTGGCTTTTCCGTCGTGTGGGCCGGAATGTTGCGGGCGGTGCTGGACTGTGATTCCCACGTGGTGGCTTTCTCTCACTAGCCCACTTTGGTCCTCCTTGACGTCCTGGGCCTGTGGGCTCGCTTCCTGTCAAGATGCCAAAGGTCAAGTCAGGGGCTGTGGGCCACCGCTGCGGGCGGCAGGAGCAGTACCGGCAGCTCAGGAGCACTGGAGGACTCATGTTCAACACGGGAATTGGGCAGCGCATTTTGAAAAATCCTCTCATTGTTAACAGCATTGTCGATAAGGCTGCCTTAAGACCAACTGATGTGGTGCTAGAAGTTGGACCTGGAACTGGCAACATGACTGTAAAGTTGTTAGAAAAGGCAAAAAAGGTTGTTGCTTGTGAACTTGACCCAAGGCTAGTAGCTGAACTTCACAAAAAAGTTCAGGGCACACCTGTGGCCAGCAAACTTCAAGTACTGGTGGGTGATGTGTTGAAAACAGATTTGCCATTCTTTGATGCTCTGATAAATTTGCCTTATCAGATCTCTTCGCCTTTTGTCTTCAAGCTGTTGCTACATCGACCTTTTTTCAGATGTGCTATACTTAGGTTTCAAAGAGAATTTGCCCTCCGACTGGCTGCAAAACCTGGAGATAAGTTATACTGCAGACTCTCAATACACAGCTGTTGGCACGTGTGGACCATCTAATGAAAGCTGGAAAGAATAACTTCAGAACACCGCCCAAGGTGGAATCCAGCGTTGTAAGGAGAGAACCTAAGAATCCACCACCACCCATCAATTTTCAGGAATGGGATAGTAAGGATAACCTTTGTTAGGAAAAACAAGACACTCTCTGCTGCATTTAAATCAAGTGCCGTGCAACAACTCTTGGAAAAAAACTATAGAATTCACTGTTTAGTCCATAATATTATAATACCAGAAGATTTCAGCATAGCAGATAAAATACAGCAAATCCTAATCAGCACAGGCTTTAGTGACAAACGGGCCCATTCCATGGACATAGATGACTTCATCAGATTGCTACATGGATTCAACGCAGAAGATATTCATTTTTCCTAGGCATTTGGAAAA